TTTAATTTTAGTAACTAACTAATTAAATTAATATATGTGACATTAAACTAAAATTAATATTCACTTTTCTATACAACTTAATGATTAAAATGTGTATTAATTACACTATTAACCTTGTCATAGAGATACAAGTTGAAAAAATCCATTTCAAAATAGTACAATGATCAACACAGAGATTAATAAATTTATTTTACTGAAACAACATGGAATGTTTACACAGCAAACTTAAAGTCTATGGATGCTATTGGAAAATTTACGACCTAATGAAAATGTCTTTACATCTGCAAATGAATTTGGATTTATTCTTATATATAGAATTGAGCTTAAAGACTTAAAAATAATTAATAGATGAAGCTCAAACTCATTTTTAAACTGATGTTGTTCACAAAGTTTTATTGTTTATATTTCTTTGAGATCCGCAGATAAAAGGAAAAAAAAAATATTCTTTTGAACTTTACATTCAATCTCAAATATTGTCAATTATAACGTGATGTTAAATTAAATAAACTCTTGTTATACCCTATCAGTATTGTTCAAAGTATATGAACTACTTAACAGTGACATTATTGCTCAGCACTAAAGCGTGTGGAAGATACTAGAGCGTAAGGTTGAAAGTCAAGAATAATTGGATACGATATAATTCATAGAAAACATTTGAAAGCAAAGGACAAGGAAAGTGGAAATTTCATGTAGGCGAATGCAACGGGATGTGGAAAAAGTATGTCTAGCATCTATTTTTGCAAAACTTAATAACTCCACAATAAAAAGGGATAAAGAAATTTCAAAATGAAGAGAAAAATTATAGTAATCGTATCCAATGGGGTGAAAAAATGCATTTTAGGTTCCATCTGATCGAGCTACTGGAGAAGTAAATGGAGAAAATAATTAGTGGATGAAGCTCAAGCTCCTCTAATGTCTAAATTGGTATTCTGGTCACATGGTTTTGCTTATATTTTTTTTGAGATTTGTGAATAAAAAATTCTATAAAATTTATATTCAATCTTAAATATTTTTAAATTGAAAAATGATCCATATATCTTATAAAGTTACACTCCATTACACACTAATGATCTTTAGTACTTAATCCATTATGCACTTCCCTCTTAACTCCCCAAATGCACCAAGCCCTTTCTTTCTCCCTCTCACTGTTTTGACAGATGGCACATTCAAGCACTAAATCAGAATCTTGAGTCTCTAGTATCTTGAGGAAGAGTTTATTTTCGCACAAAATCATCCTTGTTTTAGCTCATGATTTTGCAGCTCATTAGACACATCAAACAAATCCATCTTTGGGATGATATAGTAGAAAGTGGAGTGCATGTGACTAGAGCCGATCGACAGAAAAGGGAAAAGAAAATAAGAGAAATTTTTGCAATTTTGGTACTATGCACAGTTTTGCCATTTTATCCGACTTGCAAAAGTTCAGTGTTAGATTGAGCTGAAATTTTGTCTAGGTGTTCAAGACATATTGATCTACATTCTGAATGGTCAGTTTTTTATTTAGAGTGTTATAAGTTCTGATCTTGTACCCAGAACAGTAGCTTGTTTTTGGTGATTTGTTTTTCTACAGTTTTAGTATTGTGTACAGCTTTGCCCTTTTGTCCGATTTACAAAAGTTCACCACTAGATTAAATGAAAATTTTGTTTGGGTGTTCAAGATATATTGATCTATATTTTGAATGGTCAATTTTTCATTTGGAGTTTTATAGATTGTGATTTTGTACTCAGAATAGTAGCTCATTTTTGGTGAATTATCAATATGTAATGGATTAAGTAATAGAAACAATTAATGTAACATAAAATATATAATTTTATACGGTATATGTATATGTAGGATACATGTATCGGTTTCCTTTAAGTCATTTGTTTGCCTCCCCACAATCGGATTGTAGATCAAAGTAAAGCCTTTCGCTAGATTGGCAATTAGGCAACTAGCCCAACAAGGAATGGGCTAGGGTAGCTTAAATGGTTAATGTAAAATGGGCTTGATTTGTAGTTAAGCCCATCCATTAGTTATGTCTCATTTAGATCTAGTTTATGGCAAAGCCTCCACGTTTGTATGGCGGAACCAGATTTGATTAATGGGTAGAAGCTATAATATTTTTGTATAAAAAAAGATTCAAAATTAACAAGTCATAATATTATCCTTTCTTAATGAGTAGGACTTCACAACTATAAACCTTTAAAATTATAAAAGTTTTTTTGAGAGAATGGTACGTTTATGCCTAATCCTTCCCCAACACAGGTCCGCCAGCCCTTGCACTAGTATGATATGTGCTTCAGTTTTAACATTAATGCCACATATTTTGATGTAATTACTTAATTATTAAAATTAAAAATTATTTTTTATATAATTTAATTATTAAAAAGTGTAATAAATATTTTGATAATACATACCTAGAATCACATGAGTGGAAAACTTTTATTTAATTTTAAATGTGGGTGGAAGGCAGTATCAGCCATGATCTGAAATGGGCCAAAGTTGTTGAATGTTGAAAATAATTCATGCAATAATATTATTGAATAATTTTTT